GTGTCTTCCCTCCCAAGGGTAAAGACCAGGAAGGCTCTCTTGAAATTATTAAAACAGAGCTGGCCAGATTTTGGATTTCAGTGCTGCAAAGTCACAGTGAGAGGATGGAGTTAGGACACAGAACAGTCAGTTGCTCACTGAGCAGCGGAACAGGCTCAGAGAATGGCACAGTACAGAAGAGCCCATTGTGCTGCCAAAACAACGCTGAAACTACACAAAGAGACAGTAAGGACTGCAGGCGCTGGAAGCTCGAGTCAATAATTGTGGAGCTGGCAAAGGACTGATGGTCCGAAATGTTGACTTTCCTGCTCCTCGCATGCTGCGACTGAGCGTCGGTGGGGGAGGGAGTGGGATGTTTGTGGATGTGGTGCCAATCGAGCAGGGGTTGCTTTGTCCTGGATGGTGTCGAGCTTCTTGAGTGTTGTTGGAGTTGCCCCCATCCAGGGCATCCAGCTCCACATTTATTGCTTGGATCTACACTCATCCCATGTCCCAGCACTGGGTCCCCAGCCTTGAATGTTACGACAGTTCAAATGCTTATCCAAAGGCTGCGCTCCCACCGAGGCAGTCCATCCCAGAACCCCACCGCCCTCTGGGTGAGAAATATTTTCCTCAAACTCCCTTGAAACCTCCTGATTGTCACCTTCAAATTGCGCCCCCTTATTAGTGATTTTTCGACTGAGGGGAACAGCTGCTTCCTACTCATCCTGTCTATGCCCCTCATAATCTTATACCCCTCTATCAGGTCTCCCTTCAACCTTCTCTGCTCCAAAGGAAACAACCCGAGCTTATCCAGTCTCTCTTCATCGCTGAACCACTACATCCAGGTTACAAACGGTCACCTGAAGGTGACATACTTCCCGACGTTACATCATGGACAGGAGGCGAGGGGGGCCTTGTGGTATTATCGCTGGACTGTTAATCCAGAGACCCAGATAATGTTCTGGGGACCTGGGTTCCACGGCAGATGGTGGAATTTGAATTCAATAAAAATATCTGGGATTAAGAATCTAATGTGACCATGAATCCATCTTCGATTGTCAGGAAAAACCCGTCTGGTTCACTGATGCCCTTTAGGGAAGGAAACTGCCATCCTTACCTGTCTGGCCTACATGTGACTCCAGACCCACAGCAATGTGGTTGACTCTGAACTGCCCTCTGGGCAATTGGGGATGGGCAATAAATGCTGCCTAGCCAGCGCCGCCCCTCATCCCATGAATGAACAAAGAAAAAATAAATCACTGAGTACAAACCCCTTGCTTATTAAATTCTGACCAGTGGCCCTTCCTGATGCAGAGTTTCAAATATGAAGACCATAGCGTCAGGATAAGGGTCGGCCATTTTGGACAGAGATGAGGAGACATGTCTTCGCTCACAATCTTCGCGATTCTCTGCCCCACGAACGCCCGCAGAGAGCTGGGGACTATCCATTGCTGAGTCACATTCGAGATCAGGAGATAGTGAGGGGACAGGGCCGGGAAAGCGTAGGGGAGGTCAAAAGTCAGCCACGATGGTGTCAGATGGGGCAGCAGGCTAGAGGGGCCGAAGTACGGCTTCCTGCTCCTGGATTTCGACATTCTCATTGCCTGCTTTAAAGCGGGAGTAAGATTGAGTTTCACGACTGCTCCAAGATGGTGTCCTTGTCTTCATTGAGTTCCACCTATCAGTCCCGGAGAACTGAATAAACAAACGACAGCTCGCAAATCCACAATCCACTCTACCGTGACTGCTATCGATCTCCGGCTCAGCAAAGAATTCCTCCAGAATCAAGTTTTTTTTTGTTTTCCAGACCGAGGGTTAAGATGATTAAATCCCAGAGAAGCGCCAATGCACTGGTTATGACCCGTGCTCGAATGGGGCTAAGTGGCTCGCACCCACACTGCCCACTCAGAAGCTCACGGGAACGAGCCCGATTCCCAGGAGCTCAGTCTGACCTCTCAGCCGGAACGCGGCAATAGTCCAGAGGTGAGGGGGTGGGGGTCTACTGCACTGATGGTGTTAATTCCTCCCACCCACCGTCCAGCTATTCCAACGTCCCATGCGGGCCCGCAAAATGGCAGGACGATCCCACTCAGAGAGTTCCCCATGTCCCAGCCAGTCGGATGTTGGTGCCTGGCTCTCAGCTGTTTGTCTTCATGACTGCTTTCAGAAACTTACAGTACCCTCCCCATCGAACACCTTCCTGACTCCCTACACCCCCTCCCTATCTCTGTAACCTCCTCCAGCCCCTACACCCCTCCCTATCTCTGTAACCTCCTCCAGTCCCTACACCTCCTCCCTATCTCTGTAAACCCCTC